ACACACACACAAAAAGAGATGAAAATAGTCATGGCAGCTAGCCACTTTGTCACACCAAACAGGTCTTAAGACCAGCTTGAGACTGCCTTAAAACCATTTGCTGCATTACTTTGGTTCCATTCAGGTTCAGTAATCTAACAACGATTACACAAACACGCAATAAAGAGGGCTTGTAAACTGGTCTTGAACAGTTAATAAAAAGGTGACCTCAATAAATGACTGGTCGAATTTGGGCTGGGGTGCACCAGTTTGGGAATAAGTTTTTGTCGATTCTATTCAAGTAAAGTTTATTTTATTAAAAAGTCAATCTGGTGACTTTACGAGGAGGTATTTTTCTGAAAATCTCCCCCCAAAAAGAAGCGTTTTGAGCCCACTACCATGACCCCCATGAATAGGTAAGTACCCCCGTCTCGTTTGTTGTCACTGTACTTTAGCCTCAACTGTCAAACTTGTTACACATTTTGTCACAGCTGTCACACAACTGCTGTAACGCAACGAAACAATTTTTGAATCGCAAATTTCCAATATTAAACTGAATCTTTTGTAGATCTATATTCCAGCTGAAAGACAGCAAAATGAGCAGGTCTGCCTAGATTTTGCTCTCTTAAAAAAAATAATACACGTATAATTTCACACACACACACACGCACAATATGCCTTTTACTGTCAAGCATTGTCACCCGCACAGAATATGCGGGGTGAAAATTGAGGACAAAATGTGTGTCACACAAGCATTATGTTTTCAGTCGCCTCGCCCTGCTGCCTTTCGCCTTCAAACCAATCTTCGGCTTCTTTGCATGCGCGGTACCCCTCCCGATGATACGCTTCGAACATGCGCGGCGTGAAAAACTGATTGGCCGTGATGTGTTGTGGGAAGGCGTTACAAAACCATGAGGAGCAACCGCGGCATGAGCGTCTATGACAACACTCACAGCAGCAGAACGTCAATTTGTCGACGTCTGTTTGCTTCAAGACCATACCAGGGTGCAGGCCATGAAAGGCGGGAAACGGATCAGTAGAACGGGCTGCAGCATCTTCCACGTCCGTGTCGCCGTCTGGGGACGGTTTTCTTGGTACGATCAGTAGGATTTCACCGTCCTGATTGTCTTCAGTTTCGTCTCTCTTGTATTTAACTTTAAATCTGTTGATGAAACAAAGCAGAACCATGAACACAAACAAAAGTGTATCCTGATTCCATCGCAGTTGTTTGATTCTGATTGAGGAGCTTACGGTGTTTTGGGTTATTAACCCTAACCCTCCAGGTACAAAAGTACCTTTAAATTGAAAGAAACCTGAAAATAATAGCTTACAAAGATAGAAAAACATCAGAGAGATCATAATAAATCATAAAGGAACAAGGATAGTTAAGGATGGAGAAGATTCACACGGAAACTTTTCAAGATGTTCAAACAGTGATGTAGCTACTATAACTGAACTTTGATATGCTTTGCTGTTTCTCAGTACCGGGAAAACAGCAATTAACCTTTACATCGATATTTATTTATCGTTATTATTATTTTGTAAGAACTTATATATTATTAATATTTGTCTTATTTATTTTATGTGTTGCTATAGCTGCAAATCGCTGTAATGCAAAAGAAACTTATCTGACAGACGGGCAAAACGCTAGCACCAAATGGCCTTTCACAGAATTAGTGAACAGTAATTAACAATGCAGAGTCTATTAGAGCGGTTTTCAATTGAGTGTCGAAAAACCAAAACCAAAGTAATCAATTTAGCCAATCACAAAGGACGCAGATAATCCAGTGAACCAATCAAAACTCCAAGTTATTACATGTAGCTGACGCAAAGCGCGGAAAACGCGTGCGAGCGAATCCCGATTGGTTTTGGTTTTACTCCTGATTGGATGAAAAAGTGGCGCGAGTTTTTAAACCAATCGTGTGGCGCAGTAAGTGCAATACCAATTACTTTTCGACACTCAAATGAAAACCGCTCTACTCACCAATTGGACTACTCAGCCAATCTCAGATCGTAGTAAAACCAAAACCAAAACCAAAACCAAAGTAATTGCCCGACTACTTTCGACACTCAATTGAAAACCGCATTTTTTATTGATCAGAGTTGCAGTTTTTCTTCATTTGTAATTAATCACAACAAAAGTAGTCGAAAGAGAAAAAGAACTACAAACCTGTAAAAACGCGGTTTTTTTCCGGGGTCAGTAGGTTTTACAAACTTCTCGAATAAGTCTGAGATCACGTCGCCGCCTTCTTCACTTAGAAACGAGCAGTTCAGCTTCTTACGAGCCAGCATCAGCGCGTTCAAAAGACTCTCCCCGTACAACTTTTCGTTATTCTTGAAACCGCCGTCCACTACAACGATCCTCTTCAGCCTCTTTTTCAACAGAGGCAGCAAAGCGAGGTTTTCGACATGGCCGCCATCGCTGAGTAGCATCACCGGAGGTGGCATGGGCCCAATGTTTTCTTTGTTAAACATTTCACTCACATAGTGAACAAAGGAGTTGTGTACGATGAACCACCTGAAAAGAGAGAGAAAACCGTCGAGGCGTAGGTTGGATAAGCTAGATACTTTGGACGGGATCGGGGAACCACAGACAGAAAAAGGAAACTAGCTAGGACACCCGAAAAAGATTCGAAGAAGAGTTAATTTAAAGTGAAAAAAAAAGATTATATAACAAGGATGATGGAGCTGAAAACATTTGCGTTCCTACTTATGGCCTTATATGAAATTAGCACCGAGAAGATGAAATCTGGTAAACAAACGTACTCCACGGAGCTTTGTCCTAAAATGCTTGTCTGATATTTCTCAATAAGCTTCAATAGAAAGTACGTGGAACAGTTCATCTTAAAACAAAAACCTTCAGACATTTGACTTGCAAATGTCTAAATTGAAGTTACCTGGCTAACTTTTCCAACTTATTCGGGTTTTTCTTTCCGGTGTCTTTGACTGCGATGAAGGCCAGAAGAAAGTGTATAACGAAGAAGCTTATCACTCCAGCTTTAACTGACGATTCAGTTTCTCCGCGGTAATAAAGTGCCGGTACACAGATTAACGGAAGAGCGCAAAAAATATCCACGAGAAACGGTAGTATCTGTTGAAATGATAAATAGGTAGACAGCTAGATGAAGTGTGTGTTGGAGTCTAGTTGTCCGTCAGATTGGCGCTTATATCTCTACCACGTGAAACGACTAGAAGTATATCTTCTCTCCCTGGATGGGATACTTGTTTATCGCAGGTTTACCCCCAGCCGTCGGTACCTATTTACACACCCGGGTGGAGAGAGGTTCTGTGAGAGTGCAGGAACACAACAAAATGACCCCTGCCAGGGCTTGAACCTAGACTACTCGCTCCCGAGTCCAGCGCTCTTACCATTGCGCCATTGCGCTTCCCTCGAAATGATCATTAATGCTCATTATGTTAATCGTAATGATTCGACTTAACGCCCTGTTTCCAAGAGGTCGTGCCCCTCTAAAACGTGCCCCTCTTCAAGAAGCGCCATCCCTCAAGTTATGATAGCTTAGCCGTAACCCGCAACATCAAATGATGAGGATGATCTTATAAACTCTTAGAATCTGGAGGTGGTTTCATCCAGAAGGTTCATGAGTGCAATATTTGTCAGATATCAGCGTTATAGTCTTTGATGCAATCATTTAATCCTTCCTAGTCCGTGTTTATAGTGCTCGACTGAAGTAATCTAAACCTTGAAGGAGATGCATGAAAGATACACTGATAAACAGGTAAAACAACATACCCGAAATACAATACTTTCATCTCTCACTGCTCTGTAGTCGCTTATCATCGTTGCGCCCATTTCAAGCCCAAGAAGCGTGTGAAAACGGATCAGTCCTTCCACAGAATTGTCATATTTTCCCATGTGCTGTGAAAGTGCAGCGGCCGATGTAGCCATGGCATCTGACAGTTTTATGTCTGCAGACCCTAGGCTGCCTTCGAACGGGTCAGGTCCTTGGGTGTGGTCTAAACGCTCGATTCCTGTAGGAGACATCGTTAAAAGCCCATAACTTTCCTCAGACTCTTCACTTAGCCTCCATCGGTTCACAACAATGTTTGACAAGTACTCGGGTTTGGTATCCTTGAGATCTGCTAGGCTCAACGACCTTGTCTCTGCCCTTCTTTCACCGACAAGGTTGTCGTGGCTGTCGTGGTCCTGGTTGCATCTTGACTGACAAGCGAGCCACGCTGGACAGATATCCTGCATACCAATCCCTGAGCATCCAGCTGTACCAAGACCGTCGGGATGATAGAACGCTTTCTGGAGTCTCCACCTGTGAAAAGATGTAAATGCAACGTTAGGATTTCTGGGTGAGGTGTGTGGTCCCTCAGCGCCCTGAAAGGCGAATTTTGTCACAGTTCCTGGTCCCAGAGATTTTCGTTCTTCCACCAAGGAGAAAAACTGGTGTAAAATTGAATGCTGGAGATGACTTTCACCCAGTGACCACTTCTATTTCTCTGCAAAACGTCAGATAAGCCAGTCGCAATGAGAAGTCAAAAAGTACGTTCAATTGGAGACAATATGAGCAATTAGCATGGCTGTAAAAGCCGTATGTTAATTTTTAATTTGGTACTTTCTTGGTGGCGCAAACATTTGAACCGTTGTCCGTTCCTTTCCGGCGGGCAAATAGGCGCGTACGTACCTACTTAGTCCAAACTTAGTCGCTATAAAACTCAGAAAATTGCGGTACATGTTTGGCAGGTTGAAACCTGCCAAATGATGTGAATTTCCACTTGAAAACATTGTTGGACTTCACTTTCTAGTAAAATGGGCGATTCGATTTGCTTACCTGTTATAAACATGCATAAGTCTTTTGTGTGATGCCCCTAAGAACGGGACAATCCACAGAGCAAAACCAGACACAAAGAGCAACCGATTAAATAGCTCCCCAGAAAACTGAATGCCGAGCAAAGTGGCTTCGTACACCTTCCAGTAAATAGCATAAGAATAGAAATAGATGACCAAAACATAAGATGTTTTACTGCGCAGAAGAGGAAGAAAGAACCATACCATGATTCCAATAAACACGAAAAGATACTGCGTCCAGGATGGAATTTTGATCAAAAAGTCGTGAATGGCAAAAGGAAAGAAAGTAAGAGCCAGAAAAACAATGAGTGTTGTGTGGATAAAACTCAGGGGAGTAGAGTATCTCTTCCTTCCAGAACAACTTTTGGCCAAAACAAAAAATACAACGAAGAGAACAAACAAAACAGAGAAGAGAATGATGGTGTAAGAATCGTCAGTTCCTTGTCGATCCAGGCAATGCTCTCGGATTTCCTCAGCTGTAGCATTGGGGTCGACGGAAAATTGCATCTCTGGATCACCTTTCTCAGCAACGTCATCGCAGTCCAGCTTGGCTCGTAAGGACTTTCCAAAAAGGAGGTCGATGAAGAAGGCGATGGGGCATGCGTACGACCCACATATGATGATTGGCTCGATTATGGTGATGAGAAGAAAGAGGCAAAGTAGAATCATGGTGCTAATGACGCCTTCTAACGGCTCCTCCCAGCGACAAAAGTACCCTGCTCTATCTCTCATGTGATCAAAGAACACCTTATGCCATTTTTTATCGTCTCGCTTCCCATTCCTGTATTTCCAGTCCAGGTAAGCTGTGCCAGTGTAGCCGCCCCCAGATACGCAGCTGAGGTAGTCCACCTCTACCTTTTTTTCCAGCACCCTGCGCAGGACACCAGAGCATAATGCCGCTGACCGAATGCCGCCGCCAGAAAATGCCAAACCAATGCTAGCCATAGCTAATGAGGGAAAAAAGGAAAGAATGTTCCAACTAAAACAGGAGATTTTCAATAACTCAAATTATGTAATGTCTATTCCTGTCCTAACGTCAGAGTGACAAAGAGTATTGATCAGTTGATAATTCCCCTGTACTGGCCATCGAAAGTACCCTACTAGTCATTTTAAACTGTCAGGTTTCCCTAGCTGAATTTGTGTCTCTTTCAGTGACACAAGAAGAGTTCTTGACAGCCGAGACAAGCCGTAACAATTTTAACAGTGTAGGCTGTTCAGGGATTTTGGAATTCGTGGTTTTATCAGTCGAGTAGTGCAATTAATTAATTATAAAGATGAGTCATGACCAATCAATCTCATTATATAGACTATTTGCGATCGATGCGAATGCGTTAGAAATATCATTTTCACCAGCAGATAAATAGGAAATGAAGCTCGCTGCCTGAATACCCATGCGTACTTAGTGGGGGGGAGGGTGGTGAATAGGGGTATGCAAATCCACCGATCCGTGCCTTTTTTGCGCCAAATCCGTTGATCCGCCAATATTTTTGTCCAAATCCGAAACCACAACCACATCTGGAAACAGAAGTGTAAAGGTCAAAGGTAAACTGGTAAATGTGAATGCCATAGTTAATTTCGCACAAATAGTAAAGAAGGCAGCATGCTTGATGACTATAACACAGTGAAATTCTAATAACAGTCTCGCACTTGAGTTTAAATGAACTTCGTTCGAAAAAAGAAACAATTTGGATGAACTCATTAACATACCGACCAAGGCTGAAGAAAGATCTATGATCCAAATTTCATTTAGGAACCAAGATCCGAACATCAAGGCAGGCACAATCCGGAGTCCAAGCCAAAATTCACAGCTGATCCACGATCCACTGTGTTTTGAAAATCCGCGAATCCGCTCGATTTACCCCCAAAATCCACAATCCGTGCGCTTTTTAAGGCCAAATCCGTCGATCCGAAAACCTATTCACCCCCCTCGTACTTGAAGACAGTTATGCCAGCTCAACAGACTAAAGTAAGTAAAAGCAGTTACATATAAAATCTATCTTTTCTTCTGTACATTGCATGATAATAAACTGGTGAACTCAATTCCCAGAGTTTCCTCCGCGGTCAAAACTGTGTTGGAAACGCAGATATCAACACTAGTCACTAGATCTCGTCGTAATATATTTTCATGCTCACAGTTGAATAACTCCCTATGTCTCGAATATGTCTCAGTCACTGTCACTCCTTACAAGGTTGCTAAGGAAATACAATTGACGTCATTGCTAAGATCATCTTGAATATCAAATGTAACGCTAAACAATTGTCACGCACTTATAATGACTGTCACGCTCTTATATACTCCTAACAACTGATAATTTATGAAATTAGAATATTTCGTGGCAACGGTTTCCCTTCGTTTGACTTCTCCCGTCTTGGTCTACTGACACAACAAATCAGTTTGGCGCTAAGAGTACTCAGCGTACTCAGAAGTTCTGAGCCTTGCAATAATTCGTTTGGTCTGTTTATTTGTGCTACAGAAAATTCACTAACATATATAGCCCAAATCTTGTTTCGTTTTTCCCGTTCACACCAGTTCAGGTAACGTTGCAGCAATTTCCGCCTGGTGAAGCAAATTAGCTATCTCAATACCGCAAAATGCATCAGTTATCCGATCTACAAAACGTCCTCTGACAATTATGCGGGAATTTGGCCAGTTTACTCAGTGGAATAAGCTTTTTAAGGCACCAAACATTCAGAGTTTGACAACAGAAAAAAAAAACCCTGCACATTGGGTCGATTTTTTCCGCTTTTCACAATGCAACGTTTTAGGAACGGTTCTTGCGCACGTTCGGCGGGCACAACGTTTCGGAAGACTTAATGCGATACGTAGTCTATCCCCAAGAAGCATACTCTGAGAATGACAGCAATTGGTATACTTACCTCAAGATGCTGAGAATAAATAAGGTTGTTTAACACGCACCGCCTTAACTCTGACCTTCGTGTGCTTCAATAACACCGAAACCACTGACGACTCAGTAAACTAAGGATATCAATACAGATAACAAGGAAAATGTAGGTCGTTAGCAGTGCATTAGTACTCTTAAAATTTTCCTCATTCCAAACTTCCAACGAAAAGAAAGACAACACTTAATTTTCCGAATACGAACTGGGAACTAAGCCCCTAGGGGGGCTCCCACGGGAAAAGGTCGGGGATGTTTGTCTGTAAATTTGAATTATAAACCCCTGAAGGAGACCAATCTGAGTGTTTAAAACGGACAGGCAGTTTTTTTTATTATTTCTTCGAGTCCAGCCCTAAAAGACCGTGATGGCTTAAAAATAGTGGTGTTTCGTCACGAACGCCCAAGTGAGACCAAAATCCGTGATTTTTTTACACCCCTAAGCGATCCCCGACCTTTCTGCATGGGATTTCCCTCCCCTGTGTAACTGGCCAATGCACTTTCATAACGTCCTTTTAGGCATGGTGCATGTACACTATATAAACTTACAGCTAAAAGTTTAACGGACGGATCCAGTATGCAGTCTCCACATCCCCATCCTTGCCCTGCCCGATCGCCTAGTCGACTTTCGTATACCTTAAACTACCACTTATAAGCACTGGGCTTATACAACTTCTTAAGGGGTTTTGGATGGGCTTAAAAATGGATGGGGAGGCGGGGAGGCTTCAAAGCGGAATAAAGAAAACGGTTTGGAAACGAACTGAAACAGTGTTATCCTAATAAATCGAATTCATTGCACTTTAAACTAGAGGGGTGCTTATATTCGGGGGAGCTCATAATCGGAAGTAATATTTTGTTTACCTATAAGGTCCTATAACCGGAGGGGCTTACAGGCGGTAGTTTACGTCATACGAAAGAATATTCTTCCTTCCGCTGTACTCGCTTGATTGATAATTGGTTATTGTAGCAGAACACCACACGAACAAACTTGCAACATGTTTACAAATTCAAAACATTTCCAATTTACTTTCGGGAAAACACAAAATAAAGTAGGACTAGGCCGATATTCTTGTCCACCGAGTGTAGTTTTGAGCGGTTGAACCAAGGTTAGCCATGACGACGAATGGAATGGTGCTCATTTCTTTAGCTTGTCAAACAGACCGTTAAGTAAATGTGAGTATTCAATGATCATGCAGGCGTTGTTAAGTTACATACACTACATAAAACAGCAGTCTCTGACTTTCATTATTTCTAATTCTTAACCCCAGTTTGGCACAAACTTGTTTCAAATTCTCTTCAAAAAGAAACTTGACACAGTGATATCAAAACAACAACATTAATCAATTCGTGAACAGGTGAAAGAAACCGCAAAGAATATTCTTCCTTCCGGTGTAAGAAAGATTAAGCAGCCAAACAGCACTAAGAAGACAGTTGCGGTCTGTGAATGATGGATGATTGAGTATAAATTCAACCAAATTGAAATTAGAAGCGAAAGTCTATGGAAAATTTCACAATAAAGATTGAGTAGTCGGAGTATGTTATGCGAGAGAGGATACAAGAACATGACAGAGACATACGGCTTGCTCGTACACAAACCGCAATTTCAGAGCAGGCCAACGAGACAGGGCATTTGGGCATTTACCCATTTGGGACAAAGTCGAGTTTATTGATCGTGACCCCCACTGGTACACACGAAGGGTCCGTCCATCTAAGACTTCATCTAAATAACATCAATAGAGATAGTGGAATTGAAATTCCTGAAGCATGGATACCTACAATCAGAAAGCACAAAAGGCTGGTCAGTTAGATTGCGGACCTATGAGGGGACAGCTTCACAAAGTTGGAATAATAATGAGGATCGAAATGCACCAATAGTAGCGAACCAAGGTGCTACAAATAGCGACACGCAACAATTGACCTCATCGCCTGATGAAGACCAGCAGTATAGCAGTCGAAACGTTGCTATCTACATCTTAAAGCGACTCCATCGTGAGACAAACGAAAGTTCATCTATCACAATAGGGGAAGGAAAACCGTCGAAAATAAAAAGAAAGACCATAATAAGTGACATAAATCAAGGGGGGGTTGAGAATGATGGATTTTGAAATCATGAATAAAGCGCTGAAAAATTGCTTTGATCAAGAGAATCACCATAATAAAATCATTTGGAATAATAGTCGCATCCTGATCGGAGATCGCACAGTTTTTTTTCGAACCTTTATTTGAAGCTCATGCAGAGTTTACGTACTAAACAATTTTTAAAAGAAGATAACACCTTCCTCTCACTGGACGAGCTCACTCGCAAAGTAAATATCAATATTCCGTTTACACTCTACTATGACCTCATCGCTGCCATTCCTACAGAATGGAAGAAAATTTGCGCCAAAACGTCCCTCTTGAAGACCTTCCGTCGACCCGTGTATCCTACGCTACACTTCTAAGTAACAACGTATACGTAACTCCACCGACATCAGAGAATATAATTCTAAATTACGGTTTCTCCAAAGAAAGCATCCACAAAGCGTACTCGTTGCCTTTCTTAATAGCCAAAGATTCGAAATTAATTGCCTTCCAGTTTAAAATAATACACCACATCTTACCTACCAAATCCAGCCTTTTTCGAGCTGGCATTACTTGAAGCGACCTTTGTTCCTTATGCGCCGCTGGAAAACAAACAATAAACCACCTACTGTACCACTATACTGTATCTAAGGCTTTCTGGGATAGATTCACCAACTGGTGGTACCAGAAATTTAAACAAGTGGTCATTTTGACTGAATCTAACGTCCTAAACGGTTGGAATAATAACATCAAAAATAAACAGGCACTTGATGTCACTCTTCTTATCGCAAAATTCCATATCTTCTCGACAAGTTCATGTGGTGGTAACTTATGTTTTGAAGGCTTTCTTCTCCGCCTCCAAGACAAACTTGATATTTTAAAGTTAAGCTATACCGCCCAAAGAAAGCTGCATAAATTCTTGAACATCTGGGGAAAATTACCATAAATCTCACTCCGCTTCGTTCTTTTCTTTTCGCTCTCTCTTATTGTAACTCTTTTCTGTAAGCCAGCCGTAGTCTTGTTCGTAGCTTTTAATTTTATTGCATAATAAAACATGATGATAATTGCTACCATAATGTAAATAGTGTAAGTAATGTATATAAGTGGTGCAGGCTTATATTTGTAGTACATCTCTTTGTAAGTAATGTAAATAGTGTAGTATTGTTGTGTAAGCATTGTAGGTAGTGTAAGCTCTGTAAACTGTGTGGGAAGTGTTTAAATAAAAAAAAAAATAATGACAAAAGCTGAGAAAAATTTGTATATTGAAAGATGCAAACTAATAAAGATAAAGCTTTTCTCTGCTAATATTATCGTTTAGATTTCAGTGTCCTAACAAGTGAAGTCTCCTTTATCTTGCAATGTGTATCTGACCGACCTTTAGCCAATATCTCAAAGTGGTCCCATTTTAAGTTGCGACCGGTTGACGTGAAGTGGTCTGCGATAGCAGATGCATGTCAGCTACTCGTGATCGCTTTAAAATGTTCAGTTTTTCTGCCGTGCAATCTACGTTTTGTTTTTTCGATGTATTAGAAATCCTGGCAGTACCAACAAATAGCCTTATACACAACTTTTGACATTTGGAAACGGTTGATCCTATCTTCGAAGGGAAAAAAAAGACTTGATGCGATGAGCACTTTGGAAAATAACCCTAAGACCAATGCAGCCATAAAATTGGTTAATGCTGGTCTTGTTTGAATGGACTGAGGAAGTTGTTGTTACAAAACGGTTACCCTGCTGGTGTTGTCAATTACAACACCAATGATGTTCTAGCAGTCAACGAAACAGACCGAGGAATCCAACCACCATGGTCCCCAAGAAGGAAATAATCTTAGTTCTACCTTATTTAGGGTTACAAAGCAAAATTATTACCAAACAGCTGAAGACCTGTATTAAGTCTTCCTCGACAAAGTGAGTTCCGGTTGTCACGTGCTTTATTAATACAAGTTAGTCACGTGACAAAAAGTGGTTGAAAATAGTATATTAATCACTTAATGACTGGTCCCAAGGGAAACAGTGAGTTTTGTTTCCCCGGGACCCTTTTATTTCCCCGAGACCCTCAAGGGAACATTGAGGTCGAGGGGAAACAAAACTCACTGTTTCCCGCGGGACCAGTCTTTGATATAAACTCCCAACTCAAAAATAGAAAAAAAACTGCGAAGAAATCGTTTACTTGAAGCCGGCTGGCTCACAAAAATTTGCCGCGGTTTCAAGGAGCACGACCTGATCACGTGCGAGTCTAAAGTTCAAGTAGTTGTTTCCCTAGTGAGTTACGTGGCACGTTCTCCAATCGGAAAACGTATTTGAGTTGGGAAGTATAACAAAGTATTTTAATACTTTGTCAGTAAGTAGCTGTAAAAATAAGGTCTCTGGGCTGCCAGGCCTTTGCGTTTCGCGGCCTCGCTTAAGCTATTGCGAGTCACGTGATATGACATCTCCTGTTTCTTCTTTTACATATTTCCCTGCAATCTTTGAGCTTTGAGGCCTAACGCCAAATTGTTTGAGAATCCATAAAATTTTATTTCAGAGATCAAGAATAAACCAGCCGGATTCTAAAAGATACAGCGTCGTTACCAGGAATTGTTCCTCCTTTGGTTTCGTGAGGTGCGCGTGGAATTGTGGGACACGTTTCGTGGTTTCCTTCCTTTCAAGCCATCTCCCCTGTTTTCCGCTCCTTGTGGACTCGACAGGCCTAGCTGTGGAGAGACTATTTATTTTCATCTACCAGGCGAGTTTGCGAAATTTTTGTCGTTATGAATTGGGTCATAAGACTAGTCAACGGCAGGAAGAAAAAAAAGTAAATTGACATCTCAGTAGAGCTTGAACCGGAAACGTTTGGAGCGGTTCTATAGCGGATCTCTTATTAACATTACAAAAATATATACTTATATACTGACTAATTTTACAATTTTGCATCGAAAACATTAGACCTCCAGTTTAATTTCTGGACGTTTCGTGCCAGTTCAAGGCGAAGTACGTGACTGTTTAAGAAAGGAACCGGGTTGGGGGGAGGGGATATTACTGTGAAAGTTGCTATGGAATTTTCAGTCCACCTCAGACACGAGCATATCAATTTCGAGAAAATTGGGCGCGCCTGTTACGCTTAAACTTGTAACTGCGACTAAGTAAGTAACAAGCTAAGTTATCATTTGTCTGAGTTCGCGAAGGTAAGTCTCTTTTGAATACTGACTTTCTGAGCAGGGAAAATTGATCAGCTTAGAGCTAAGATGCTGGCGGTTTAATTTAAAAGCGTGCAATTTCATTAAACCGTTAGGCGCATCGCTTAGCACGTGGACAATAACATGACGGGGAGAAGTTTCATGAAGCCCATATGCTTTGCCGTGCGGAGAAGTTACTACCCGATGCAATTTTACTATCATTTCACAAGCCCCTCTGAAAAGCTTTACTCGAATTGCTACACTTTTACAATAAATCATGGCAAGTTTGTAGTAGGCTTGCTGGAGTTCGTGAAGCTTGGGGCGACTAGTTAATTTCTGCCATTTTTTTATATCAATGCTTCGGCTTAGGTTCTGATCAGCTTATGCCGAATTTTTTGCGTATATCATATCCAGGAAAAAAAAAAATCGATCGTCTTTATTGCTTGCGTGCCAGGCGCACAGAGTCCCACGGCTGTGAATAGTTGATTTTATGACATTGCGCCATACCAACCGCTACTTTGTACCTGTTTTAACTGCTCCGAATGTCTCGCGACAGGCGGTTACAACTGAAACATAGTGTAAATCGAACTAAAATTATGAAACCAGTATTTAGATACCAATGCAAACGACTCTTAAAATTTATCCTTTTGGAATTCACCTTGGAGTCAAACAAATATTTCTCGATTTCTTATTCTGAAGCTGCACATCACATGGTATCATGTTCTATCGAAGCCTTTTCCAATATATTATGAGGAGCTAACATTTATGCTAAGCTGATTTCTGTCCCCATTCCTCGGTTTGGAATTAACTTTTAATTTCAATTTTGTTGATAAAAACAAAAACCTGATTGTTATGTGCTACCGTATTCTAACGGAAGATGTGTTTAATTTGAAAGAATGGGTTTATCTGCCTGAATATCGCTATATAAACCTAATTTGCATTTTGTGTACCGTTTAAAACATTGTTCGAATAGGCCACGTTCAATATTCTGACTGACATGGCTCCGAGGTTTTCAGGACAAACTTCTATATTTGGTGTTGTTTTCTTTGTATCCAAGTCTCTTTTGGGAATTGAGAGACCAAAGAAACTTAAAAAAATAACAATTTTGACCCGAAAGCCTCGGAGCTATGTTAGAATATTGATATATCGAACGTGACCTATTAGAGGTATAATATGGTTTTAGGCCGGTATTTTAATGCAAATGGTGTTTATAAACAAACTTGTTACATATCTTGTAGAAAAATGTAATTTTGTTTTTTCTTGTTTAATTATGACCATTCGAATTCGCAAGCAGATGATCTATAAAACGCAAAAGCAATGAATAATCTAAATTGACATAGTTGTACATGTTAGGAAACGACACAAGAAAGCTGGAAATGATGGTTTGAAATTAAATTCGACCTTTTTTCTTTTAATTCCCACAGTGGATAGTCATTTCATTTTTCTATACACTGTTCAAAGAAGAAATTACATAATGCAACAATCACTCTCATAAGCGTGCGTTAGATATGAAATACTGGCTACTGAATCGTCCCATTTCCAGTTGCTAGAAGTGCAGGTGCGAGCAGGGTCAACCTGTACGTGTTAGTAAGCTTTGTGTTTGTGATGAGTGTGTCAATATTCGTCCATCACTGTCTTCTAGCGTTTTCCTTTACTGACGTTTATTTTGTTATTTTGCATTAGATAAATGCATATGTAAAATTGCAAATTTGTAATATTAGGTGTATTGATGTATTTCTTTGTGTGTCATTTTACTAAAATATGCAATTAAAAGATATAAAATATTAAAATAAAAAACAGAGACGCGGGAGTGGAACAAATGTCGTTTTGGAAACAACCACAAAATATAATTATTTGAATTTTGCTAATTTTTATTTAGTAAAAAAGGACTAGTACTGGCAAGTGATTTTTATATATCATGCATGTCTGGCATGATATAATTAACAATTTTTCCATTAGTGCGCTTTGGATATGAGATGACAGAAGGCGAACGAGGGAGTTGGCTATAGTCATCTTACATCCAACGAGCACGACTGGAATAATTGTTGTAATAAAAACGCCTCTAAAATATAAAAAACTAAAGTAAAATAAAAATAAAAACGCCTCCAAAAATTACGCGAACACGTCTGTTTTTTGGTGGTACTAACATTAAAAATTTCTTCTCAGTAGAAATGTCCAGAACTGGATTGGCATTTTCTGGCGGTGGCATCCGGTCAGCGGCCTTCTGCTCTGGAGTCCTGCGCAGATTGCTACAGCGAGAAGTGAAGGTCGACTGCCTGAGCTGCGTGTCAGGGGGCGGTTACACAGGTACGGCTTACCTGGACTGGAAATACAGGCATGGAAAGGAGGACGATCCGAAATGGCATCAAGAGTTCTTCAACTATATGCGCGCAAGGGCAGGCTACTATTGCAACTGGCAGAGGCCATTTATTGCCGTATTTGACTCATTTCTCATAATTGCTCTGCTGATCCTGGTGTCTTTGATCACCCCCATCTTAGTCTGGATGACAGTGGCATGTCCAATGGCATACCTTATCGATTTTCTGGTTGGAGATCTGTTACGCACTGAGGGATGCACTGGAAACGATACAGCATTTGAGGCCGTGAACGGCCATGAATGCCATGTAGAAGGAGGTGCTTACACAAAAGTTGTGCTGTTTGCAAGCCTATTGGCCATTACTGTTTTAAGCTTCATCTTACAGAATATCTTAAAGCAAGGGAAAGGTCTTTTAAGGTTCGTATCAATATCATCGCTGGCGATTTTGGCGCTGCTCTTCTTTCCGTGGGCCATTCACGTATTGCTGGAAGGGACCCCTCTCTGGGCACAACTGCTGATTCTTGTACTCTCAGCCATCATCTGGTTCAGTATCCCAGTGTTTCGTCAACAAGCTTCCCTCATCATGGTGGTGTACGCTTATTCGTTTATCATCCACAAACGTGTCTATAAACATTCCCTCTTCGGCCTGGAGTACTCTGAATACAACTTTGTAATGTTCGTGTGGGTATCTGGTATATTGCTCGCGTTTGTGCCTTATCTGGGATCAATACAACAACGGCTGATGCACGTATTTAACAGGTAGGTGTCGTGCTACTAAGTTCATGTAATGCTTTCTCCCAGGCCTTCACGGTCAGTTGATTTTCATGACGTATCTGAGACGAACGGCGGGGAGTTCTCTTCGCCTCGGATCACGTGACCCGAAAACGGTTGACCGAGGCGAAATAACTTGGCAGGTGTCGTGCAGAATTGAAGGGTAAATGTCCTCAAAGTAAACGTCACTGTTGCATGTAAACTTGTGACTGAAAATTATGCGATGATTTTATCATTATTAGCAGCCCTTTTAGGGGATCTACCAATGCCCGAAGTCGATGCAGTCACGCCACGCAAACCGGGATAAGCTACAGCTATATACAATGTAGCTGCATGTCACCCTCTGAGCCAAGGTCCATGGCAGGCGTTCTCAAATGCGTAACTCCTGTTTGCCTTCTAAGAAAATCGATTATTTACATCGAAGATTGCAAAACTCGTGTCTGTTATTAACACTGGTAGTGATTGATTCTTATCATTAGGCCCATCAACCTTTTTATCACGTACATGCTCAAATTAAACAGGCAGGGCTAAAAAATTTATTAACCGTCTCCGCGACTCTAGAATAACACACAAGCAAGTTTTCCTTCTCAAGCTTTTAAATTTGTCCCGACATTTTATAATGACATGTTATATTCTTGATGTGTACGACGAAATCACAAGATGTGGCGAGGTACGAATTACAAGTTGGTGGCTAATTCCAGTTTTCGAGACCCAACTCCCTCAACTCCCCACCCCACCCCCCCTCCCCGTTCCCATCAGAAGTTGCTTAGCAACTGGCACGTCAAGATGGCGAGTACGCTTGAGTTCTCACCATATAAATTCTTGGTATGATCAAGATAAAAATCAGAAAATGTTTGCGTCTACTTCAACGTACTTCAATTGCAGTCACTTTTTCCCTCCACTCGTATTCTAGAGAAACATGCAAGTGCAAGCTAGGGCAGGAAAGGTATGAAAAATGCTAAGCAAAAGGATTTTTAATTTTTTCTGTTTGTGTAAGGTGGCGTCTACAGAAGGCGTTCCACACACCTGAGAGCGTGGGCATGACCGGTTGTTCAGGCATTGGCTGTCATGATCTGATCATCGGCTATCCTCGGTTCAGCTCTCGCTCCCCAATTGAGCCTTTAACCATGGCTCATCTTGAAAACATACCGCCGTTTTACATCAGTAACACGACTGTGAATTCGTGGAGGAGAACTCCCGAGGATAAAAGACCTTTTGAGCTGCTAACAATCACCCCACGAGAAATCCGACGGATTGACAGCCCATACGAAGAAGATGTGTTCTTGGGAAAGCTGGAACCGGAGGATATAAGACTGTCCGAAGCCATGGCGATGTCTGCGGCTGCACTTACACAACAGATGGGTAAATATAGTTGCTTGGATGTGTATACAGACTTGAGGATTGTTCTGGGGGTCGCATTTGGAGGGACGATTTCGTCAGATCCTCGCGGAAAACGGAGGCAAAACTGCTGCCTACAAGTAAGTGACTTCAAGGTGGCTGGCAGCGGCTAAAGCACTCTCTANTCGTCGTACCTTTTAGGAGTTAAAAAAGAGAGCTTGATACCTCTTAGGGTGTTAGGCCTGAAAAGATCCACAGCATGAGCTTTTTATTTCGCGGTACCTTTAAGGGTATTGAGGCGATAAAAGTCAGTTTGATGCCTTAGAATCGGAACCTCTTAGGGGTGAAAAAAAATTTCAAGCCACGCCCACAAAACAGGAACTTGGTACCTCTTAGGGGTTCTTTTCCAAATTTCCGACGAGCACCCCAGTCCACTATATATGGGAGTCCCCCCCCCCGGTCTCTAGTACTTATACTATATTTTAATTTATCAATACTACCATTCTTTTGCCGTTGATGCCACAGTCATGATGCCAACTGAACGAATGCAAAATATTTGGTGAAAAATATATAACAACAGGTTACTATGGCAAAAGTATGACCTTTTAAAAGTGCCTTAATTTTAGCTTTACGTGCTTACAACTTAAAATCGAGTCGTATGAAGTCGAATCTTGCCTTGCGGAACATTTTTTCAGTAATAGAAAGGAGAGTGGTCAAAATTCTTTTTTGCTGACAAAGTGTGGTAGGATTGATCCCTCATGCTAAAGTGCTCGAAAGTACTAGAAACATTTGTGAACCACCTTAACAGCAGTTACGAACTTAGCAGCTATTACAGGTTCCCGCTATAACGGAATTGCGGACCGGCTACATGAGGTCTAATATTTAACTAATATTTTTATTGTTCTTCTCTCGTTACAACGGAAAACTTGACGTATTGAATAACACAATTATTCCGTAGTCTTTAACTAGTTTTTACAGTATTTTGACTTATATTGAGTGATTATGCATCACAGTAAATGTGCACTACAAATTCAAAGAGACTGCAAATCTTAAAAGAGTATAGCAGAATATGACTGGTCATGATAATGACGGGTGACAGTATTTGGAATTTCGGGGCTAAAAATGGGGTCGAAACTTATATTGTAGTAAGACGGACACTCTTCATGTTTATTCACTCAGATTGTCNAAGGTATACGGTAACCTTAAGCGGAATGGAAGAGCGGGATGTAAAAGGTTGCATGGGTAGACGAAGCTACTTTAGTTGAAAAGGTGAAAACTATGGCGGAATGCGGGATATGGATTACCAGAAAAACACAAGAGAGAGGCGAAGAGGCATGTAACTAAAGGAGGCCAACAAAATTGAAGACTTTTTAACAGAAAAATTTCGAAGACTCTTGTTCCGATTTCGTCGGTAATCGTAACTCCCTTCCAATATATATCTTCAGTTTTGCTTGCTTTTTCCCCTCTCCACAGGTGGTGTGTAGGCAATGTGCCTCATATACGCTATGTTAGAAGCACGTTTGGTATTATCGATGAAGGGCCCTTGCCTCCTCCAATTTTACGCATCAGTGATGGCGGCCATTTTGAAAATCTAGCTTTGCTACCTCTCCTCAAACGTCGGCTACCAAAACTCGTTATTGTGAGCGGAAGCAGTTGTGAATCGGACGAAGATTACGGTAACGAGCTTAAGATTGCGATAGAACTAGCGAGAGAAAAGCTACGATGTTCTTTCAGTGGCTTGGATGGTCGAGACATCATGGAGGATATCCGAGCGAATTTTGTAGAGAAAGAGCCTGGTGACCAGCCCCGATCTTACAGGTAAGTGAGTGTGGTCACACTGGTTTGACTCCCTCGTCTAGTAGCAACATAAACAAGGTAAAAACAAGGAATGAACAAGTACAGGTGTTATCCGATACGATTAGCGGTGAAAGAAAAGTAAAGGTTTTTCCAAGGTCCTTCCAAAATTTCCCGTGAGAAGTGTAGCAGCTCTCAAAAGCTTGTTACAAGGATTATCAGTTGAGTTAGCCGTGACGGACGTTTGGCAACCAGGTTTTAACTTTAGCATGTATATGTGTCGTTATCACGGGCAACTGGCTCTGTTTCCAGTGGCAAAGTGTCGGCCTTTGACGTCACTAGAGCAAAGCGCGCGAAATTCTAGGCGACGCGCGGCTGTTGATATTGTTACCATTGTAAACCTGGTACGTTGCCCGTGACAACACCGTAAATTTAAGGCCAAAACTTCGTCCTCAAAGCTCCGTCGCGCCTTTATGCTCAATTGATAATCGTAGTATTCTACTTGTCGTCATCGCGTAGCAGCTGTTATTATTTTGGGGCTAGGGACATTGTTTCTGTCGTTTGTTTTATTGTTCTCTCAAAGGGTATCAAGCCATTCATGTGAAACCTTCATTGCAAGAAAATAAATATATATTTGTTCTTAAAATACTTCGTTCCCGAAGATATAGCAAGCTTAAGAATTTCAATAGATACAAAATTATCGCCTGTACAGTATTACTAAGTATTACTATTACTATTACTATGGGAGGCGCGGTGGCCTCACGGTTAGTGCGCTCGTCTCCGGATCGAGCCGTCAGGGTTTGAGCCCTGGCCAGGGGCATTGTGTTGTGTTCTTGGGCAAGACGCTTTACTCTCACAGTGCCTCTCTTTACCCAGATGTATAAATGGGCACCGACAAATTTAATGTTGGGGGGTAACCCTGCAATGGACTAGCATCCCATCCAAGGGGGAGTAGAAATACTCCCAGTGGCTTCATGCTACTGAAACCAGGATAAGCTGCGGCCTGATGGGCCACTTGGCTCGCATGCAGACTTTACCTTTACTTTACAGTATTACTAATCCTAAAAGCATGAGAGCGAGTCAGTTTGATTGATAGCCAAAATGAAATGAAATTATATTGTTAAATGCATACGCGTGTTTTGCGAACATTTAATTCAAGAATATTAAAATGCAAATGGTTGAAAAGTTGACGGGACCAACTCCCTTTCAAGGTGCACAATCATGTGTTCAAATTAGTAACGAAAGAATATATCGATCTTCACCTGTAGGTTCAAAGTGGCTTATTACTCTAAAGACCCCGACAGTGGAGCCGAAAACCTGGTCGGGGAGGGGCAAATCCTTTTCATTGCTCCCAGACACCCAAATAAGGGAGTACATACGGAGGAGCACGTGACTTGGAAAGAGGCGTTGCATGATATCAACGTTGATCTTGAGGAAGGTCTGTGGGGAACTGGGCCCGAGTTGGATGCTGACGAAGTCGATCGTCTAACCTTTTGTTGCTGTGAAGCCTGCCACAGTCTCTGTTGTGCCTCAGCCTCGGCTTACTGTTGTGGTTCGTTTCCTCTTCATAGTTCTGCCAATCAGTTATTCACACCTGCCATGTTTTCAGCTTATCACCGTGAAGGTTATCGAGCAGCCACTGAGGCTAAAGCAGTCGAGTTTCTCTCGGGATAAAACTCGGAACACCAGTCTTGGTAACTTTAGGGGTTTTTTCTTTTTGTGGGTAGCGCTCAAGGTTTTAAAACCGTAAAAATCTAAAATAGCCACCGTTGGAGTTATAGTGTTACGTTTCAAGGTATTGAACAGGAGGGGTTACATAATTCGAACCACGCACACAAAACAAGACTTACTAAAGTAGCTATTGGGCACACACCCCTCCCCTCCACCCCACCCCCCGCCATGTTCCTTAGGGTGTACATACGGACAGGTCTTACCCGAGTGTGTTTCGGAAAATTAAACGTGACAAGATTTAATTTATTTTTCTCGACAAGGGTGTTTTGGAATTGCCTGCTATACCGTGAAATTCCGAAACTTAGCGTTTGGCTTTTTGTAATTGCGGTGACTTTTAATAATTAGGCCAGGTGGTTCGCGGCCACGCACGAGAGAGTGCGTGGCCGCGAACGACCTGGACCATCTGAGAATCAGGCTGGCAGTCGAGAACGGTCGTAAATTTTATTCGTCTTAGATTGATTATTCGTCTATGACGGATAATTCGTCTGTAGTATAAATGCCCGGCAACCTGAACTTCTCACAGATTTTCGGCGGAAAGCCTTATTCAAAAATGATGAGATTGTTTGAAAATACTAAGCGATTCTAAAAAAATGTTTTGGTTTACTAATTGAATAAGTATTAAAGGCTTGAGGGAATATTTTCAACACAAATATTAGCGAGAGATATATACGTTTCAACATCGTTGGATATTGTTGACAATGACATCGGACGATGTCGAAACGTCGTATATTTCTCTCGGTTTACTAACTGACGAATTTACCGAGCTTGAGCATAACATAAAATTGCGACGTTTTCGACGGCTGCCGGGCATAAATAATAATAATAATAATAACAATAACAATGACAATGACAGTAATTATAATAGTAATAATAATAATAATAATAATAATAATAATAATAATAATAATAATAATAATAATAATAATCAATCTTTATTTGTACTCACTCTTGCTAAAGAAAAAAAATACAATTTCAATAAAAATATTAAAAGTAAAAATTAGAGTACTAGCTGCCTGGAATAACCATAGGGGCTAGCGGAGCCAGGCAGCCAGTTAACATCAGCATTAAATAGAAATA